CTGAGGGGATGGGTGGGTACGTTGATGCTTGGTTTACTGATTATATGGGCAGTGTGGGTATGAGTGAGGGGGCATTACGGGAGATGGGTGATTGGGTGGAATGTGTGTTTGATGAGGGTGATATGGCAACGTTGGGAGGGGCCATTACTAAGGAGGTGTGGGCTGCTTTAATGGGCATGTGTCAGGGCAAGGCCTCTGGTATAGACAGTCTGCCCAGTGACTTTTACATGCAACACTGGGGTGTCATGAAGGACTTTTTGGTTTCTTTATTTAATATTATGAAAGCGTGCAGGGAGTTGGGGGTGTCGCAAGTGACCGCAATTGTTGTTTTAGTACTGAAGGGTGTTAGTCAGTCAACAGTATGGGACTACAGTATGATATCACTCATGTTTGGGGACTACAAAATCTTTGCAAAAATATTGGGTAATCACTTAAAGAGGGTCATCAGTAAAGTAATCATCGAGGGACAATATGGGGTGCCAGGGCATTCTATGTATGAGGGGCATGGGGTCATCAGACGTTTTATAGGGTGTGCACATGGGAATGGGGGTGGGGTGTTAGCGATTGATTGGGAAGTGGAATGTGATAGTGTTGAGAGAACAGCATTGTGGAGCTTTATGAGATGGCAGGGGTTTGGGGAGGAAATTGTGCAATGGGCACGTACGTTATATAGGGTACCTGGTATGTGTGTGCAGGTTAATGGAAGGGTGGGAACATGTGTTTACAGAACCGTTTTTACAGGGCGGTGGAAAGGTGCATCCACAAGGGTGTGTGGGAGGATAGGAGTGGTGGGCGACTGGGTATCATAGGCTATGTTGATGATACAACGGTTCTTGTGCATGGGAGGGAGAGTTTAGAGGGTTTGGGGAGAATCATGGATGTTTTTGGAGCAGCGACAGGTATGAAGATGAATGTGGATAAATGTAAACTTCTAGGATTGGGTGGGTGGAAAGGGGGAGGACATGTGTGTGGAGGGGAGAGGTGGTGTGTAGTGGATAGGCTTAAGATTTGTGGGATTGTGTATATGGCTGATGAGGAGATTGTGAGGGAGGAAAATTCCACATGTGTTGTGAATAAGGTGCTGGGGCGCTTGAATGGTTAAGGTCGACACATCTTTCTCTACACCAGCAGGTCATTGTGGTAAATGTTCTTCTGTTTAGCATAATATGGCATGTAGCTGCAGTGTATCCTTTGGTGTCTGGGGATGTTCAGCAACTGTTGGGTAAAGTTTTTAGATATATATGGGGTTTGGGGTGTGATTGGTTAAGGAGGGAGGTAGTGACACTTTCGGAAGCCAAGGGAGGGCTGGGGTTATTTCCCTGGGTAATAGGTTAAAGGGTGTTTATGTTAAGCATGAGTTCAGGTGAGAGTGCAGGGAGAGGGATGGTTGTGTAAGGTGTGAGAGGACATACAACGGTGGTGGAGGGGGAAGGACTGACGAGATTGTGAAGCGAAATCGGGTATTTTTGCAGGCCAGTGCAGCAACAAACATGCGGGTGGGGTTGGTGGAGAGGAGAGTTTGGCCTCAGGTGGCGGTCACTGTGGAAGGGGCGTACCCCATGTATGCGTGGGACGACATTTGGCGCCGTTTGAAGGGGTTGCGTCTCCGACCACATGTGAGGGAAGTAATGTTTCGGTTTCTACATGGGATCTTACCGTCTGGAGTGGTTTTATGGAATAGACGGACTCGGGAGGGTGGGATGTGTACGTTTTGCAGGGAAGAGAAGTCTGCTTTACATGCAGTCTACTTTTTGAGCGTTTAGGGGTCATGAGGGAATGGATGAGAAGGGTGTTTCGATTGGTGTGGGGGGGGGGGGTTATCGGTGTTGAGGGCATTAAGCCTGGATGTGGGAGGGGTGGAGGACAGGGTTCAAAGTGCGGTGGCTTATGTAAGTGTTGATTTTGTTTATATGTCATGGGCGATGCGAGAGACGATGGTAGGAGAACGGCACAAGGCATTAGCAGCAACTGTTTATAAAACTAAGTGTCGCAATAAAGAAATATACAGGGGAAGGTGGGAGAGGGATTTTCCGGAGGGTTACAGGGTTTTTACCTTGGGGGGATTTGTGGAAACTGTAGTTGTAAGCAGTAGGAACGGGCTGGTCTCCCAGGGAAAGAGACATATTTTGAGTATGAACGAAGTATGTTCTGACAATGTATTGTGTGTTGGTGGGACTCAGGAGGAGACCACTGTATGTACAGTAAGGGGTTATCATAATTTTCTACTGTGATTTTTATGACTACCTTACTAGGTCGCAACGTTTAGATTGTGATTTTGGCGAAGCCTTTCATGTATGGTGACTCAGTGGTCTCAGGTCGGGTCATAGATGTGTAACGTATGGGGAATGTTCAGGTATGGTTGGGTGTGTCTAGTGTGTGGTTGGGGAGGGGGGAATGTGGGTAGTGTTGTTGCATGTGCTGCCTCTTTATGTTTCTTTTAATGTTTCTTTTGTGTAACCTATATTTAGGAGCGTGGAGGCGCTGTTTTACATGTTCATAT